TTTTTTTTTTTTTTATTTACACGAGATACGTTTTCCTGAGTTCCGACTGACAATAGATGGTCTCGTTATTCTGTACTTAACGAATGTTAATATATATATATATATATACATATATTACGTTACAGATAGATCTCTACACTTTTATAAAACAGTACTATTAAACTGGAGTGGCTTGAAGTTAAACAATCTGAACAGTTTAAGTGTTTGGCGAACGTGTGTTGCGCAATTTAAACTTATTTACCAGGTTAACATGGTGAAACTTTGTAACCATATATATCATACTCTGTATATCTGACAATAAATAAGTTTTAAGGTTTAGATAACAGGGTACATCCTTTAATTATTTTCTATATCACAATGTTTTTGTCATTGTCTTTTAGCTTACTTCTTCATGGGTGGGGGTGGGGGAGTTGAATGAAAATACAGTATTCGGAAAACAAGGAAATGATGGGTCTATATGTGTTAAGTCACTTGGTAATGACGTTTTACTATTCAAAATTTGATTTTTATTACGGTAATTTAAAGTGTAAAGCCTAACATATACGCGCACGAGTAAATGAAACTTTTAAAAATAAAAAACCCGACAGAATGTTTGGTTTAGATGTTTAGTTCTTTATTCACCGCTAATAACCTAGAATACTTTTAAGTTATTAGTGGTGAGTGAAGTGTACATCTAAACCAGGGGTCACCAAACTACGGCCCGCGAGGTCAGTTCATCCGGCCTGCTGCTGCACTGTGCCACAAATGAGCTAAAATATAATTATTTATATGAAAATATCATAGATTGTAGATAAACTTACTACGTAAAAAAAAATTAAAATAGGTGTAAGTAAAAATGTCCAAAGTTGTCCAATCTGATTTTTGCATCTGACAGTAATATAAGTTTTAGAAAAATCAGTGAAATAAAAAATTCGGCAACTTTTTTGCGACTTTGGATATCAGAGCGCTTTTTGTGTAAGTACCTGCAATGAGAGTTCATTCCTGCAGTCGCCCCTGCGTGCATTGTTGTAAGATGATACAATGCTTACAGGCAGTTGATACAAGTAGTGTGACGAGTGTGTGGTTACACAACTTTGTGATAGAGAAGACGAGTGCGTATTTTTTCTCCATCTATTGAGAGATAACTGAACTTCCAAGTATTTAATAATGGCTGGAGACGGCTTGAATGGGTAATG